ACGGAGTTGTCGCAGGCACTCCAGCAGCTGTCGGAGAAGGCACGGGCGGCCACGGAGTTCATCCACACTCTCAAGACGCTGTCGGAGGAAGTGCACGTAAGTCCTCGTGAGATGTCAGTTTCGGGGACATAGGGATCTCAGGTGCTGGGATAGGTAGGTGTGTGTGTTGTGTGTGTGTGTGTTGTGAGTGTGAGTGTGAGTGTGAGTGTGAGTGTGAGTTGTGTGTGTGTATTGTGTGTGTGATTGTGATTGTGTGTGTGTGATTGTGATTGTGTTGTGTTGTGATTGTGATTGTGATTGTGATGTGTGTGTGTGTGTGTGTGTGTTGTGATTGTTGTGTGGTGTGTGTGTGTGTGTGTGTGTGTGTGTGTGTGTGTGTGTGTGTGTGTGTGTGTGTGTGTGTGTTGTGTGTGTGTGTTGTGTGTGTGGTGTGATGGGTTATGGGCTCATGACTGCTGTGAAATGATACAATTTTGGTATTCTTAATAATAGATACGGATGAAAGTTTAGATATATTCGGTCATCAGCATCACTGTTTGTAATGAATGAATCTTCACTTGAAAGTTTTTTTTTTTTTTTTTTTTTTTTTTTTTTTTTTTACTAGGCTCATTCTAGTATTGTGTAAGTTTCTCCACAGTCTTTGTTGTCGCAATGATCTGTACAGACATGTCATGAAAGCCTTTTGCATGTTATGAAGGGACGGTTGTTCGCTCCACACTCATGAGCTTCCTGTGTTGCAGGGAAACTGCCGCGAGGTGGAGGGCGTGATCGTGGCGCAGGTGGACGCCCTGGTGGAGGCACTGCAGGCGAGGCGCGTCGACCTCATCAACTGGGTCAGGAGACAGCGGGATGCAAAGGTAGGTATCGAGGGGACCTGGCTGATCTCCCTCTTCCTTTCTCCTTCCTTCCTCTCTTTCTCTCTTTCTCCTCCCTCCCTTCTTCCCTTTCTCCTCTCCTCCCACTCTTCCTTCCCTCCTCCTTCCTTTGTCCTCTCTCTCTCTCTCTCTCTCTCTCTTCTCTCTCTCTCTCTCTCTCTCTCTCTCTCTCTCTCTCTCTCTCTCTCTCTCTCTCTCTCTCTCTCTCTCTCTCTCTCCTCTCTCTCTCTCTCTCTCCTCTCCTCTCTCTCTCCTCTCCTCTCCTCTCCTCTCCTCTCCTCTCTCTCTCCTCTCTCTCTCCTCCTCTCCTCTCCCCTCCCTCTCCTCTCCTCTCCTTCTCTCTCCTCCTCTCCTCTCTCCTCTCTCCTCTCCTCTCTCTCTCCTCTCCTCTCTCCCCTCTCCTTCTCTCCTCCCTCCTCTCTCTCTACCTCTTCCTTACCTCCCTCCCTTCCATCCTTCCTCTCCCTCTCCTCTCTCTCCCTCTGTCCCTCCTTCCTCTCCCTCCTCTCTCCCTCTCCTCTCTCTCTCCCTCTTCCCTCCCTTCCTCTCCCTCTCCCTCTCCCTCTCCCTCTCCCTCTCCCTCTCCCTCTCCCTCTCTCCTCTCCGTTTCACTCTCTCCCTTTCCTTCCCCTCCCTCACTCTCCCTCTTCTTCATTCTTGGTACAGGGACACATAGCCCTTCCCTTAAGATTTGTGAAGAGTTAATCTGATGCAGAACAGTTCACTAAAAAGACACATGGAGCATAGGTAAAAAGTGTCCACTCACACTCTCTCATCCTAATTTCTCCCTCATGCTTTGTTTAAAACGAGCCTCGCCTTTCAGGTTCATTCGCTGAGGGATCAGGTGCAGGAGTACACCCACACCCTGCAGTCCACCACGGCCACCATACACTTCTGCATCGAGGCTCTCAAGGAATCAGACCCTGCTTCGTTCATGGAAGTGAGTTTGGGATCCCTTTTCGTGTGGGCTTGGGGTCGGGACTAGTATCTTTTCATATAATTTGGTAGCAGCTTTTAAGTTTTGGTGTAATTTATCACATTTGGGCTATTCACCAAGTTTTGCAGAGTATGTAACTTGTTGTATATCTTCATGCATAGCCTGTGTTGCTTTAGTATTTCTTACAAACACCTTATACAATAGATATATACTGTATACTGTATCTAAATATATTCTACTACAATCCTCTTCTTTGAATTTTACTTTCCCTTTTTCCTTTTATAAATATTTTTTTCCTTTTATAAATATTTCTCCCAGTCAATGTTCTGCATCCCTTTATTCCAGGCCCAGGAGATCCTTGAAGAGCGAGTGAATGCCATGTCCCGCGACTGGGACCAGAGCATGGTGTCAGAGCCGAGGGTGCCACCCCACTTCAACCTTACCCTGGATGACAAGACCCTGCTGACAGCCATCCAGCAGCTGACCTTTATCCAGCTGAAGCGTATGTTGCCTTAGAGAATTTCCTTCTTTTTTTTCCTTGATCTGTAATTTATTTGTTAATTTATTTTGTATTATGGGATTTAAAGGTAGCAAAAAAACAAGGTTTATGTACCTGCAGTGGTGGGGGTTATTATTATTATTATTATTATTAATATTATTATTATTATTAATGTTATTGTTATTATTATTATTATTATTATTATTATTATTATTGTTGTTGTTATTGTTAAAGATATTATTATTATAATAATTGTTATTGATATCATTGATTATTAAGAAGTATCATAATTATTATCATTACAAATACTGTACAATTCTTCTTTTTTTCTTTTTTTATTTGGATATTAAATACTTTATGAACTGAAAAAAATAGTAGATAAAATTGTAGTAAATAAGGACATGTGATTTCAGCTATTAACTTGTGGATGATGATGATGATTATTATTATTATTTATTATTATTATTATTACTTTTTTTTTTTTTTGTTCTCTCCCTCTCTCTCTCTCTCTCTTCCTCTGCATGTTTTGCATAGTGTCCTTAAATCCAACATGTGAATTTCATGCTCTAACAAAATAGATTATCGCAATTAAATGCTCTGTGATATGATATATTCTACCAAGGTTAACCATCTCTCCTTACATGCTGTCATAGACCCTGTTGTAACACTACAAGAGACAGATGATGGAAAAGGTGTGGTAAACAGTATTGACAAATCTCTTAGTTTTCATCTATGGTTTATGATAGATATAGAGACAGCATGGAGTGTTTAAAGTTTATTTAGCTCGAGCATTATTTCATGAATAGCTTATATATCTATATATATTTTTAGTTATAATTGGATATGTTTTTTATTTGTCCTTTTGACCTGTAGATATATTTTACTGTGTTGATATTAATTTACAAGTATTATTTAAGGCTGATAGAAGCACTTGAAAAATTAGAGTGAAGTTGCACCACTTATGATTTTTCCCTCTCTGGTAGTGTCACAGTTTATGGATTTTTTATAGTATAAGAAAAGACAAATAATGCTTTGTATTTCTTAAATTTCCTTTATATATTTCAATATCATTGGATTCCCATTTTCATCATGATATGTACTCAATTATCTGATTTCTCCCTTTTTGTTGGACACTGGGAAATGTCATACAAAACAATAGACAATTTGCAAAGACTGCAAAATGTAAAAAATCTAAATGAAACCCAGTCACAGCTTCCAATCTCATTACTGCTATTGCATTTTTATATTCTCCCCCTGGATAACATTGTGTACTTGCATGAACATTTCTGAGAGCTTATGAAACGAAGTCCTGCCTCCTCCTAAGCTTGTAGTGAAGAAAAAGCCTGTTGTACATTCTCCTTTACGATTTTATAGTGCTTTTTAAATTTACAAAAGAAAGATTGCTATTTTCTGAGGTACTTATATTACCGATACGGACATAAGTCAGTTTCATAAATGCTGTTTTTCCAGTGCATGTAAGCATTAAAACTGTCTACATCTAACTTGTCACAGAATCACTGTATTTGCAGTTTCCTCAAGATTTCGGTGTAATTTCAGTCTCATGAACAAGAAATAAAAGCTTAGAATTGGGTAAATTTACCAAGTAAACATATAAAGTAACCTTGAAAATGTTGTGGAATACCATAATTGTGTCCATGTCTTATTTCACTAGAGGGAAAAGGATTAAAATTCTAGATAATAATTTTTAGAACATAAGTAATAGTGTATAGAGAATAGAAATGGATTTTACAAGATTAGATTAGGTTGATACTAATGTATCAGTATGACACTCATTGTCCATATGGGTTTATTGATATGATTTTTTTAAGACTGTATTTAGAACTGAATACTGGTCTTAATCTTCGAATTTATATACTCTCTGTGTAACTCTGCATGTGTTAATTTTTCAATTCTATTGTCAATGCTTGAGGAAATGACTTTTGTTAATACCTATGAATTTCCATTACCAATCAACTCTCCGAGTTCAGTAATAAAGTTCCTTCTATAACAAGAAGTATCTATATGAATTGTGTGCGCACCACCAATGTATATGCATATATTTATACATACACTCACATCCAGATGCACATGCTTACTCACTCTGTCACTCACACCTGTACCTATATGTTTATTCATGTAAAAGCATACTTAATCATTTACCATTTACAGCTCCTGGCACCCCCTCCATGATCCCTGAAGAATGCAGTGCTGAGAACAACAGCGTCACCATTGCATGGGCTCCTCACCACACCTCTTGCGTCACAGGCTACACACTCGAAATAGATGATGGGGCAGGGGGAGCTTTTAGGGTATGTTTGATTGATTTTACTCCTGTTGTTTTGCAGTGTAGTATTGTTTGTGTATACATACATTTTATACCTTCTGCAAAGCAAATCGAGTTTGCAATGTGCAAAGATTAAATTAAAAAAAAGTCTATCTCAGGCATTCTTGGTCCCTATGTATCTTATTCCTTCTAGCTTTTTTATTTTTATAATTCTTTGATGTGTATTAATCCCTCTTTTCTTGATTCTGCAGGAAGTATACTCAGGGGAACAGACAGTATGCACCATTGATGGCCTCCACTTCAATTCAATCTACAGGGCCAGGGTTAGGGCCTTCAATTCTACAGGGAATTCCCCCTTCTGTGAACCTCTCTGTTTACAGACTGCAGAAGGTTAGAATTAAATGTTTTCAGCAGATTTGAAAAATTTTGAAGTGGTCATTATATTTTTTTTTCCAAGTAATGATTTGTATGAAATACATGTATATCTGATGAATGTATATGAAACCAATGAAACCAGTTAGATACATCCCTTGTATTAAGAAAATATACATTCTCATTCATACCTTTTTCTACATAATGATCTATAATGATTTGTGTCTAGTCCTTAGCCGTTTATGCTTAATTTTTTCATTTCAGTGGCTTGGTTCACCTATGAATCAAGTCATCCAGATGTAACCATTTCTGCAACTGGATTCACTGTCAGTTGCGATTCTTATGAACATCGTGTGGTCCTGGGTAGTGTTGGCTTCTCTCGCGGAGCACATTACTGGGAATATACTTTGGAGAGATATGATGGGAATGCAGATATTGCCTTTGGACTGGGAAGAATTGACATATGCAAGGAAATGATCCTAGGTAAGTGATTGTCCCTTTTGTAAGATTACACTTGAAAACAGGGATCACAATGTATGTTGTGTTGTCTGACTTTACTTTATCTTGATGGATTAAGAAGAAAATACTTAATTTCATTACCATATAATGAAGAGTTTGTCTTCATTGAGGAGAACAAAAGGGCTTTATTATTTCTAATGATGAGAATTCTTACAGGCAAGTGTGGAGGCAGTTGGAGCATGTATATAGACAGTGAGAGATCATGGCTGATGCACGGTGGAGAGCACTTCAACAGGACTGCCGGCGGTGTAAGGGCTGGGGACACTGTTGGGCTGTTGCTGAGTTTACCAGAAAAAACCCTTAGCTTTTTTGTTAATGGGGAACTTCAGGTAAGTTTTATTATTTTTTTGAAAGGGGCTTGTAAGATCAGTATACATGAGTAAAGTACATTCATTTTTTTTAACCCTTTATTGGGCAAGTGACCATATATGATCACTTAAATATATATATATATATATATATATATATATATATATATATATATATATATATATATATATATATATATATATATATATATATATGAGGTATTTAAAATATGTGCCCGGTAAAGGGTTAAGAATTAAATTAACTTCTGTTTATGTAAAGAACAAAACATTTATATGGATAAAGAATTTGTAAATGCCAATGATGGAAAAAAATGGATATAAGGAAAGAATTTGTCATTATGTCAGTAATCAACCCCTTCCTTTCCGTAGGGCTACGTTTCGCTCGCTGGGGTGACAGGCGTCCTCTATCCTGCTGTGAGCCTGAACCGTAGTGTTGTCCTCAACCTACAGACTGGACTCCATCCTCCACAGGCACTTGTGGAGACTCCCGTTGCTGCTAAAACATAGATATGATGTATTCTACGCAAAGTTGGAGTATATTTAGCTATACTAGTATTTTTTTTCTTTTATTTCTTAATATTTGTCTTACTATTAGTATTGGCTTACTGTATGTCTTTGACTTACTCTGTTATCTTTGTTGATGTTTTAGCTCTTTTTTATTAACTGAGGGATTAGATATGTGTTATCATTTCTTTTTGTTCTTAAAGTAAGCCTTCAAATACAAAATTCATTACTTTCCTTTTTAGTAGTCTTTGTATATATACAATGTGAAATTTGATTTAGAATAATTGGTATAAGAAGGTATGATTTTGTTTTTTATATGCCTAAAAGGTGTTATGTTAAATAGTTATACTGAATTGTTTTCAACAGTAATTTTTATACTGTCAGGAACTATGTGCCTCCAATTAGCACATAAATACTATTAATTTAGGTAATGAGTGGTTTGTCTGTTCAAATTTAGTGTCCTTCATGTGATAACCTCGTAAGTGTCAGCAAGTTTATTGCGTGGATTACAAGATCTCATGATATGTCATGTATTCTTTTTTTGAGCTTTCCTTTTTCTTTCTTTAGATGATGAATATCAGGTGGTGATATATGAAAGAATGAAAAAAAAAAAAAATTGACATATCATTGTATATATTGTACATAATTTGCATATTCATTGTCAACTTGATTACTTGTATGATTATGGTATAGAACTAACATTTATTTACTATTTTCTAGTCCCACTTTCTTCACGGTTTAGTGTCTATGTTTATATACTTCTTGCCTTCTAAGAGCTTTTGTTGTCTGTGTTAGTTTCTTGTATCATTATCTGCTAGATTCATCTTGCATTTTACTAGTCTTACAGAAGGTAAATACAGGGAATATTAGTGTGGTTACTATATCCAGTGATATCCCTCCATTATCAACACTTTACTCACAGTAGCAACGGAGCTGTTGAAACAGCCAAGAGAAAATGCACTTAAGATATCAACACAATGTTAGGTAGTTTCACACCTGGCTGTCTAGAATATCAGCTTAGGTCTCTCTGCTTGTTAAAGAGACGTCGCATTATGATGACTGAAACATATTTAACCCCTTTGATGGTCTCCAAGTATCAAGAGAAAAAACAAGATGTATTACTCATATTACCAGTCATATCACAGTTTGAAAGAAAAAAAAATATATAGAAAAATATTGTA